CACACACACACACACACACTCACTCACTCTCCCTCCTCCTCGTCTCGACCCGGGCACACGCCAGGAGTCTCCTGCTTTTACGGTCTGATGAGTTTGTATAGAAATCTACACGTGCCTCGGCTTTATGTGTCTCTTTCTGGGGGTGGTGGGGTCTCTCGTTTGGCTACAAAGGGGGCATATCCGTCCACATAACGGCCCAAAATAACAATACAGAAAAATGGAAGGTAGAAGAAGAAACTTCAAAGGGCTAAAATGCGCATAATAGGGAAATAAAGTACAAATGCTCAACATCATTTTAAGCAAATGTCAGTGAAAGCAGCTCCAGACTTTAACTGCTTCCATTCAAAACCTTCAGAATGTTTAAGACACTCAAAGACTTCCGGGGAAACAAACTTCTCCGAGATCAGATCTGCAGTCCGGCTTTTACGCACACGAAAGCCAGCTGAAATTCGACCTCAGCGGACAAATAACTAAACATCCACAATAATAGGGACAGATTTGAAACCACCGTGGCCCTGCAGCATGTGCGCTGGCGTGACAGTTAACTCCGGACATATGAATCCGTCATTTTACGCATACATAATTAATGGCGAGCGGAGGGTGTCCTGCTTTGCATCACAATGGTCGCGCTTGTGCAAGCTGTAGACCCGTCCTGATTGAAAAGGAAATTGCACAGTTGAAAAAAATGGAAGATGAAGAAGAAGTGGGGGTCTACCCCCCCCGGCACACAAAAAGCAATCTGGACCCTAGATACTGTCGGCGCGTGCTGCGCGTAATCAGTGCGCTTTTTCTGTCTCCAAATGGGGCAAAGCGAGGTTATCTGGCCGTTAAACCACATCAAACCCCGCAGGTCCAGTCTGACCCGGTCAGTCGGATGTGAGTCTGTCCTGCACCGTGAGAGATGATGCTCCCATCATCCCTTGTCTGTCGGTGCAGGGCTCGAGGACACGTTTGACAGGTGCAAGATTCTGGCGTAAAATGAAGACGTGAGAGAGATGTCCGGAAAGTCTTTTCACTAACCCATTTCAAATTTTGACTGTTGGCGTGTCCAAACTGAGAGCATTCAATAAACACGCGTCGTTTCTTGTGTTCTGGTCTTTTTTATGAAAAAATCTACATCTTATCCGCCAGTCTGTCTCTTACGAATATTTAAACCCACATTTTCCTAAAACAACATTCAAAATAATGTGTGTCCCTTTAAAATCCACGTGTTTCGAGAACTTTCTTTAATCAGTTGTTATCGTTTTTAATTTTTAAATGTTCCTCGGGTAGAAGCAGGCACATGCCTCCAAATGTTAAAAAAACAACAACCAACAACTAGATTTTCTGATAAAAAAAAAAAAAGCTCACACCTTTTAAAAGTGAGATTTTTTATCCAGTGGGAGCTGTGTTAAAAAAAATTATAGTTAAACTTTATTTATAGGTTATTTCACCCATAATGCTCATTTCATGATAACAGGGAGTGCAGGTGGATAATGGTTTAGCAGTAACAGGTCAGCGCACAAAATGAACTAACATCTATACAAACACTGCAAAACTCTCATTGAGCGCCGTGTACAGTGTGTGTTTATTACCACGGACAGCGCATTGTGATATCCACGCAGTGAAGCTGACACTTAAAGTCACTCAGCGTTTCATGTCCTACAATCTGACTTTATATTTCCACACAAGCAGCGTGCTGTTTTCTCAGCTTGCGGGTTCAGGCATATGTTCTCTGTGTGCGTTAGTGAGTGTGTTTGCGTGTTGGAGTGTGCGTGTGTTTGTTACTTTCCCGACAGGCTTCAGCTCAGCCTCATTAGCATACAGCTGTAGAGTGACGCCCTCCTCATTTCCCCTCCTCCTCCTTCCAAAAAGCCAAACATCCACTTTTATGTGCAGCATCTATAGGGCCCTGTGATTGGTCACACTCCTGCAGAGTCACACTTACAGTTGGCACATTGTATAGAAGAAAAAACAAAACAAAACAGGAATGTAAAAGTATGCCAGACTCTCGTTCTCATCTGGTGTAAAACACTGCTCACACTCTGATTAATGAGAGATCTTAAGGATTAAAAAGGAAATTATCAGATGTCCACACAAGAAAAATGAATGCAAGCATTAATTTAATGGTAATAGCGTTAAAAGTTAGCCAGAACTCTTACACAAAGAAAGTTTTACTGGATTAGACCACTCTCTCTCTCTATCTCTGAAAACAATTAAAATAACATTTATTTGATGGAAAATTTTTGGATTATATTGATTAATTGAAGCAATCGAAGAAAACACATATTTTTTAACCATTTGATGGAAAACAAATCAGTAGTGTTAATCAGTGTTTTGGTGTGAGTAATCCAGTTTGGAGACGCTGACTGTCTGTTTGCTTTCTCTGAACATAACAGGACTAAAAAATGTCATGTGACTCCTGACTGTGTTTTTGTGCTGAGCTGCTGATTTTAAAATTTTCTCCAGGACTCTAAAGATCTGATATAATAACATATTTACACATAGCAGACACAGTGTCTCCACAGCGTTCCTGAGCCAGCTCAAATGATTGGAGGTATCCAGTGACACATACACAATATAAACCAGTTACCACACCTCAAACAGAGTCTGATTTGTTTTAGTATTTTAACAGGCGTGAGGTCAGAGCTGGCCCGGGCAGGCGAACATGGGCAGCAGGTTTCGGTTGTAACTCAGATACTTCACAGCACTGCTCCTCAGAGCCGCTCGACTGTCCTCGTCTTTCAATTGGTCTGGAGGGCAGAGGTCCTGCAGAGACACACAGGTGGAGAGTAAAATCTCAGCACTGCACTGAGAGAGCTTCTTTTTTTCCACAGACCAGCAGGTTCTGATCGGTGCCCGACTCAAAGTGTGCCGGAGAACTCTAAGCTCGCGCTGAAGGTGTGATCGCTGTGGAGAACTGATGTGAGGAGACATGTAACTGACTCCATCCAACTGAGTACTTAATGCTTCATTCACTAAATTTTATTTCTACAGCACATTTAAAATCAAAGTATTTTACACTAAAATAAAATAAACAGGTTCCTAAAAAAGACACTACAATCTGTCTGAGGACATCTGGGATGTCTTTCCGGGGTTTCAGTGTAACAACCGCAAAGGCACAAGCTCGCTCTGACTGCTGGATGATCAGGAGTGACTGAAGAGCAGATCTTAATGATTTTATTCAGACAAAAGAAAGAAAGACTCACCCGAGCTCTGACCAAAACACTGGATGAACGTCTCAATAGAGAAAACATCCCTGATGTTACCACACAGAACTTTAAGAAGTTTAAAACACCCTTCAGTCTGGAAATTTGCAGGAAAACATGAACGACTGTTTCACATGGACAGCAATAACAATCTGATTTCAGCCGGCAGGGCAGCAGGACGTGGAAGTTCCTGCCTCAGTCTCAAAATTCCTCACCTTCACAAAGGCCACATGCAAAGATTTAAACGTGCATCGTAACCAATACAGTTTAACTCAGAGGGGCATAAGTGTGATGTAGGAGATGAGAAGTGGAGCACCAACCTTGAGTTTGAGGGTCTGCTGAAGCTCCTGCTCTAAATCGGAGAATCTGTCGTGGAAAACGGCCAAACAGCTGCTCTGTGTGAAGAAACTGGAGAGAAAACCTTTACATCAGTGCTTCGGTTCAGTACCAACAACCAGAGGTTTTAAGGGAAAAGGGTGCACCCGAGTTATAACATTGACAATAACAACTGTTTCAAATCTAGATTATGTCAGAAGCTTAAATCAGAATCTGATTCCATTGCCCTGCATCTACATAATGTAGAGGTTAATTTCCACCACTGGAAACTTTCTTTGTGTGAACCGACTGTTTACATAAAAGCTCAGTGAAGCTTTGAAATAAAAACACACACACGCACACTTCCAGAAGCTTCCCTAAGTGTGTCGGCTGAATAAGCCTCAGCCGCCACACGGTCAATCAATTATCTTAACGGCTCCTGATGCTCCGTCAGCCTCCACAATGACTTTACGAGTCAGCTGACTGAGCAGCATGATGGGGAATCGGCCTCTGTGGTTGCGAGGCTCCAGCTTTGTCTCGTCCTGGACCGACCACAAAGACAGATTGGGGAGCTGCATAAACAGATTAGGAGGTGGTGGTGGTGGGGGGACAATAGCCCTCCATGTCTGGGGGTCATTTGTGTTGAAACCTCAGAAGCAGGTCACCCACTGCTTGACAAATACCTACTCACTGGATAGTCATGCCAACAAACACAAACACACACACACAAAGTGAGAGGACAAAGGCAGCGGAGGCCCGAATCTTCCTCGTGTGTTGAAGTGATCGGTCAGCGGTTACATGACGTCAAAGCGGCTTGTTTCTGTGCAGAACTCAGTTATGAAAACATCGGTTTTTACACAGCTGCCCACCTGCCGTCTGCCTCGTTTCAGTGCCAAAAATCACACATCAAAAAGTGAAAAACAGCAGCGTGAGTTCTTCTGCAGTCACTTACATGCATACCTGAAATTATACTCCTGCAGAGGGCTGGACAAAATAACAGAAATGCTGTATAAAAAACACAATAACCATGTAGGAAACACCAATCTGCCGAAGCTGCTTTATTATTCTCTCGACGACATACTGAAACCAGACATCGGGCTCTTCACCAAACTGCTCATTTCTGCCAGTCTAATCAGAGTGTGGGATGTTTTGCCGTTTATTCGCCTGCTGCTGCATCAGTCCTGACAAAGACTCGAGCAAAAACATTGGACAAAAGATCGGATTTTTATTTTTGTCCTTGTGAGGATTTGTTTTTACAGTGCGAGTAACTGATTATGCTCCCTCGAATATGTTTGGGCACTATACTTAAAAAGTATAAGCATGAGAGTTAAAGAACAACCGTGGTTTGCTAAAAGACATCGGCAGCAGAATGTAAATGACCTTCGAGGATAGTGGTGTTTGTTTGGAGGAGGAAATATTTCTTCTTCACTTAAAGATAACAAATACTCGAAGAGCTCTCGCTTTTGGTTTGACCTCCACCTGCTGTCATGTAGATAATCCCAGCAGCCTTGCTGTTACCACAGTATTACTAAAGCTGCAAAAAGAACTTCAAACTAACAAAGTTTCACGTGTAAGCAGGAAAAGAAATGAAGTTTTGAAAGGTTAAACAGGCTTCAAACCTGAGGGCTGAAAATGAAAATACAGAAAACTGCAGTTCCTCTAATGACCACTAGAGGCTGGCTCCAAACACGAGTCAGTCTAGGTTTCCAGTAGAAATTGGGTATGCGTTTACTGCCTGATGTAAAACACCTCTGGTGTTGGTTCTGTTGGGGCGTTTTTAGCCATTTTAATAGAATCTTAAAATGACATAATATGACTTTCTGTTTTGCCAGACCACCCAGGGAGGTTGTGATTTAGTTTAGGAAAATCTGGCATTTTATTTGTATGTTACTTTGCAGTAACCAGCAGGTGTGTGTGTGTGTGTGTGTGTGTGTGTGTGTGTGTGTGTGTGTGTGTGTGTGTGTGTGTGTGTGCGCGTGTATACATAAGTGTAGATTTTTGGGGGAGGTGCACAAATCCTGGTGAAAAATGATTTGGGGGTTTGTTTTTATATAAATTCAATTAAAACTGACCTGCTATGCTTTTACTTATTCA